CTTCCCTTTTGTATTCCAAACTCACATGGACATTGGCACTTGAGGTCATATTTTAGTGGCGAACAGGCAGCTGATGGTTGGACTCGATCTTGGAAGTCTTTCCCAACTTAAATGATCTCCTAATTCAATCTAACTCTGCAGGAGAACAAAGCAAAGTGCTTGTGGTGGGGCTGAAACACTGCAGACACCGGAGAAACCACCCCAGTGGCGCCAGGAACAAAAGGAGTTGCCAGTGGAGAACAACAAGCAGAGGAGAAGGTAAAGGTGGACAGACAATCCTGGTCAATCTGGTCCCAACATTCTCAAGCTGTCCAGTGCGAGACCAGGCTACAAGTGAGTTTTAAAGCCTGAGCAATGACAGAGGTTACCACAACCTGGGTGTTCAACATCCACATGGACGTTCAGAGTCAAGGGAATCACAGAGTCAGCACTGCTGGGAACCCAAACTCAAAACAGAGACCACCAGGAGAAATTATCTTCTGCCATCCACAGCTTCTAGGGAGATGGGCAGGGATGGGGTTTGTTCAGGCATCTGATTTGCACCCTTTTACTCTCTCTGACAGAACACTAAGGACTGGGCAGGGTTTCAAGTGCTGTCCTCCACCTCAGCAAACAGCAATAATTCAGGTCACCCCAGTGCTGAGAGGTGCAGCTATTCAGGGAGGGGAAGGAATTAAATTGCTTTCTAACAAATATAGGTGACCTCTTTGAGCTAGGCTAGAAATCACAGTGTATTTTTATCATTAGCTTCCATCTCTGTGGGATGCACCATAAAGGAAATTATTGGAAACTTCACAGAACTGTCGTCACCGGCACTGGGGATTTTTATAGGATCATGGAATGGCTTGGGTTGGAAGGAGCCATAATCATCATCCCCTTGCAACCCTGCCATGGGCAAGGACACCTTCCACTAGACCAGGTTGCTCCAAGCCCTGTCCAACCTGGCCTTGGACACTTCCAGGGATCCAGGGGCAGCTTCTCTGGGAAGTTTCAAATGGGAAAAAAAAAAACCCCAGAGATTTCAGAAAAGAAAAAATAAATAATTCAGTTACAATCCAGTATCCACCACTGGTGGGGGGGGAAAACCCAAAAACCACATCCAAGGGGTGGGATGGAGCCGGTGGTTACCTTCAGGATCTCCTGGCTGTTCTCTATGCCCTCCTGGTGCCAGCAGTCCAGGACCCCCTCCACGCAGCCGTATCCCATCCCATCATCCAGGCTGGAGAAGAGGGAGAAGCCGATGGTGCTGGGCATGGCCGAGGGGGTGGTCGTGCGGCGCCCGCTCTCGTCGAAGGACTGCCGGGAGAGGGTGAGGGTGTGACGGGGCACGGGCAGCGCCAGGCATCTGGTCCACCCCGTGCCCACAGGGGCTTATAAATGTAATTTCCCTACTCCAGGAGATTAGGGATTAAGGCCTGGCTTTCCCTCACTGCCGAGCAAACCCCCGGTGGGAGCACTCCCGCTGACCTCACGGCACCGCGGCGCGACCAGGCACTGGGGATTTAAGCTCAAGCCGAGGAGGAGCAGTTTCAGAGCCGTCCCCAGGGCCCCAGAAGTGCTCACTTTCAGTTTTGAGTGTCACCTCCCCTAAAAAGGCCGCAGGGAGCACAGAAAGAGGTGCTTTGGGTGTAACCTTCAGCTGCCAGGCAAAGGCAGGGAGAAAATTTCAAACTCTCTCTCGGAAAATAAATAACAATTGGAGAAGAGACGAGGGACCTGCATGTCCACAGCCCTCAGCCTACCCCAGGTATCACTTCCCCCTGCACCCAGTTTATACTGGATGGCCCATCCCTGGAAGTGTTCCAGGCAAGGTTGGATGGGCTTTGGAGTAACCTGGGGTAGTGGAAGGTGTCCCTGCCCATGGCAGGGGGGGAGACGAGATGGTTTTTAAGGTCCCTTCCGACACAAACTATTCTGGGATTCTACACCTCTACAACCATTGACTTACTGCACTTCACAGGTTGCCAGAGCCATCTGCCCCTTCACCATGAGGGTGTTTTCTGCTTCATCTCCCCCCAACCCTCCCCAGAGAAGCTTCTTCTGAGAGAGGACTTGAAATCTGCTTTTGGAGCAGCTCCCTGTCACCACCTCCTGCCTCCACGGGGCAGGGGCACCCTCACAGGGAGAAATGGTGAAGAAGAGGAAGAGACAGGCTAAGTGGGATTTGCTCAGCACTTCTTCCCCTCTTCTCCTCCCAGGATCCCCCTCAGTTCCTCACCTGCATGGAGAGGTGGCGTTTCAGCTGTCGGTACGGGGTGGACGCCGAGGGGGTCAGCGACTTCCCGTTTTTAATCAGCCCATAAAAGAAATCCTCTACGCTCATGGTCCCATCTTGCTCCAGGTTGTGGAGCACCTCTTCAAGCACCTGCAAGGAGACAGAGATCACACCTATCAGCAAACCAGCACGGTGACAATCTGGCACGCAGAGGAAACATCCTATTCCCAAGGCTCTAAAAACAGCAAAGCAGGAGTTATCCGACACCACATCACCCAGTGCTGGTACAGCAACCTCCACGTGGAAAACTGCAGACACAGACACCACAAAAAACAGCTCGATGACCATCTTGGAGCCTCTATTTAATGAGGCAGCATGAAAAAAAAAAAAAAAAAAGCCTCATATCATTCTGCTCCCTAGGCAGGGTGACCTCAGGAATTCAGCACAATGCACTGAGAGACGCCAAACCCGCAGCAGCTTGAAGTGACCAGGCAAAAAAACCCCACAGTAAGACACTGCAAGGTTATAATAAATTTATTCTTTGCTTCAAGGCGTGCTGCTTTCTGAAGAGCAGGACCAGAGATGTTCAGATTGGTCCCTCACTATTTCTTTGTCTCCAGTTTATCTTTTCCATTTTCTGCCTTAATACCCTGAAAACATTTCACTGCAGACAGTGCAAAGGAATACCTGCCCAGAACCATGTTTTATGGAGGGAGTTCTTCCAAGCCATGTTGTTTTAAGATGCACAAAGCCTGACTTTTTTAATAAAACAAAATCCTAAGTTGACAAGAGACTTTCTTTGCTAAAGAATTCATTTTCTTGTGGACTCTTGCTGCAGGACAGAAACAGCCCAGAGGCCTTCACCAAGTCAAAAGCAGCCACCTATGAATATTTAACCCATCTTACAGTCTAGCCAGAAGATTCCTGGGATTAAGGAGACATGCTTGGAATCCAAGAAATGTTTTCAAATTGCAGTTTCCTCCCGCAATCGCGTGAGAAGACACACGCACACGATGGAGCGAGGCCGGCAGCTGCCTCCTCCTAGAGCAGCCACCCACCAAAAATATGGCTGGAAAATCAGGAGCTGGAAAGTCCTTTCTAAGCAGCTGCTTGCCAGGACAGATTTTGGGAGGGATATGTTAAACCCCCAGACACACACAGTGGTGTGAGGGTCCGTAGGTGGTCACTCACCTCCCCAGCCACCGTGTGCAACCCGTACTGCTCACAGATGGAAACCAGCTTCTTCCTGTTCAGGTGGCCATCCCTGGTGATGCCCAGGTGCTCACAGACCTCCTGCAGCTTCTCCTCTATCCAGTCTGGGCTGGGCGAGGTGCCAGGGGAGGCGTTCAGGTCATCCGGGTTCCAGAAGCGCAGCTGTCCTGGAAACGGGAAATTGCTCTGGTTTTTGGAGTGGCCACCAGAGGATCTGGGGTTCTGCACATCACAGGGCACCTGCTGCTGTGGTGGGCAGAGCTCCTTCCTGGCTCATCACATCCCGTGGGGTCATTTGCCTGAGCTCACCCTGCTCAGAGCACACCTGGGATTTTAGGGTATGGATACTGGTCCCACAAGTATCCCACCCCAGGGGAGGGAACCCCATGTCCGTGGAACCATGGAATTGTTGAGGGTGGAAAAGATCTCTCAGATCATCAAGTCCAACCATTCCCCCAGCACTGCCAAGGCCACCACTGGCCCACGTCCCCAAGGGCTACATCCTCATGTTTTAATTCCCCCCAGGGATGGGGACTCCACCACTGCCCTGGGCAGCTGTGCCAGTGCCTGACCAGGTTCAGGGTCAGGGAGCTGCAAGGCCACCTCCTGGGGCTGGAACAGCAGCTTTAGGAGAAAAAACATGATCCCTTGGGATAGGGTAGGAGTCAGAGAGCAGCTGAAATGCAGAAGAGATGTTGGAGGAATTGAAAGGAAGAAGGTTTTTACAATGGGGATGGTAAGACACTGGCACAGAGAGGTAGTAGCTCTTCCATGGAAGCGTTCAAGGCCAGGCTGGACAGGGCTCTGAACAACCTGGTGTAGTGGAAGGCACCCCTGCCCACAGCAGGGGTGGAACTGGACATCTTTAAGATCCCTTCCAAACCAAACCATACGATTTTAGGACTCTGTGACAACGAGGGAACCTTCAACAGCTGGTTCCTGCTGACATCTAGTGCCCACCGTGCTCCACTACAGCCAGCACCCCCTGCTAGGGCAGGAGGCAAGGTCACAGGACACACCCTCTCTGAGGCCCTCCCTGCTTTAGCTTTCACCCCCAGGTGCACCTCCCTGAGCTCTGGATGCTCCGTGCACCCAGCTGGCCTGAGACCCTCTCCACGTGCTCCTCTGATTGATCTTCAAAGCTGTCAGGAGAACGAGCACATCCCAGTGCTGCCCTTTGCCCTTACCCTCGGCCTCGTACTCCTCGCTGTCCCGCGTCTTCCAGCGCTGGGGAGAAAACAAAAGGTCCCTCGGTTATTACTCTTGCAAGACATCACCCCTAGCAAAGAGACTCCGAGATCAGCGCTGAAGGAGCTGCAGGGGCTCCACCAACGCTGCTGGGCTTTCATCTCCCAGCTCCCAGCGGGCTGGGCCGGCAATCCCCGGCTCTTTGATCCTTGCCTTGTTCTCCGGTGGGGAGAAACCACAGCAAGGGACACCCAAAGCCCCTCAAAGTGACCCAGGAGAGGCGGCAGATCAGAGCCTGGCAGGGTGACGGGAGAGAGGGAGGGGTTTGCCCTCCGAGAAATCGCGCTGCTCGTCTTAGAGGTGTCGATAGCCGAGGTCAAGGGACGCAGGAAAGGTCACAGAGCTGCTAGCTGGGTTATCCCCTCCTTCCAGCACTCTGGTTTTTCCCATGTAAAGCCAAGCCCACTCCAAAATTGCACCATGCTATCTGCAGCTCTAGGTCAGGAGACAGACCTGTGCTGCCAACAAGTTTGAAACAAGAAAAAAAAAAAACCCACTCTGAGCGATCCCGTTCC